CCCCATCCTCCCCTTCTTCTCTTCTCCACGGGCGCCCTCTTGGCCGCCACCCACTGCAGCATGTCATCCGCAACGATTACCTTTTCAAGGAGTTCCTGCGCTGTGACCGCCCATCCCAATCGCATTGGCTTGGTCACCTGTGCCACCTATCAGGTGCGGCGATCCCATTCTTCCCCCTTCCGTTCCCCTCTTGCTCCGCCCCCCGGTGTGTTCTGTCGGCGTTGCTGACTTTCCTCCCTCCGTTTCTCAGCTGGATGATAGTGAAAAGGTCATTCGATCTGGCGATCTGCATCAGATCCGCCTGTCCGGCACCCGGACGCCCGACAACCGCCTCGCCCTCGAATGGTGCGCACCCTTCGGCCTTCATCACTTCCCGCCACAACCGCTGCTCACTCCTTCCTTTCTGCTCTCGCCATCCTAGCAACACAGTTTCCACGTTCGAGACTTGCGCCACGCTTGATGCCCAGTGGCATGCCCACTCGGACACGATCGCCACCGCCGGCGGCGATGGACGTCTTTCCCTCTATCGAGTGCGCGCAGTCCCCCCCCCCCCCGCTCCCTCCCCATCCACCTCCGATTCAGTGCACACGGCATCAGCCCGCTCATGCTTTGCCCTTGCTCCCTCCCTCCCTCCCCGCCAATTCGCAGTACTCCCCCGTGACGCACAATCTGTCTCTGTTGGCCGCGTCGGACATCCTCCCCGAGCAGCAGCCCATGTGTCTCTCGCTCGACTGGGCCGACCGCATGAATGGTCGCGCCTCGCCGCAGCTGGTTACCAGTGACTCGGCTGGTGGCATTCACCTGTTCACCCTCCGGCCGGATGGGACCTTGGCCAACATCCTTTCCGGGTCAGGCGTCCATGAGTTCGAGGCATGGATCGCAGCCTTTGGCCAGCCGGAGACGCCTGTTGTTTCGGCAGACGAGAAGCATGTCGTTTTCCCGGACGATGAGGAAGTCACCCTGGCGGCGGCCACGGCGGGTCCCTCTCTGGCACCGGATGCCCACCCGGCTCTCGGGTGCATGGTTTTGAGTGGCGGTGACGATGGTGTCTTCCGTGGCTGGGATCTCCGCATGGGCTTCGATTCTTCGGTGTTCACCAATCGCTCGTGCGTGTCCCCTCCTCACACCAGTGTCTCCCCCCCCCACCATTCTTACACTCCGCTTCCCTCCCCTGTTTGTTTGGCGTCCCCCCTCCCCCGTCCTGGTGCCTTGCCTTCCCTTTGTCCGGTTGGCTGCTATCCGACAGCCATAATGCCGGTGTCACCGCGGTGTCGGCCCCGCCGGAGTCGGTGTCCGCTGGCCGTCCGCTGGTGGTGTCTGGATCCTACGATCAGTCGGTCCGGGTGTGGGACTTGCGCAGCCCGCGCCGGCCGTTGGAGACCTTCGAGGTGGGTGGTGGTGTGTGGCGGCTTCGTTGGCGCGATGGCTGGGACCCGTCGTGGGGCGCCGGCGGAGAGGGCGACAGTGCCCCGGTGGCGGGGTTGCTGGTGGCCGCCATGCATGGCGGCTTCCGGGTCCTGGGGCTGGGCCCTGGGGGCGCCCTTCTGTCGGATGGCGTGGCCGGTGGCGGTAATGACCTTTCGACCCCGGAGGCGGTGGCCGCCGGGTCCGGGCGTTTCCCGGCTGCCTTCCATAACTCCCTGGCATACGGGGCCGATTGGTGCCGGGTCCCGGTGACTAGCAGCGCTGAAGGTACCAAGGCCATCGAGACTGTCGGCGCGACATGCTCCTTCTACGACAAAACCTTTGGCGCCTGGACTCCCAGTGACTGTGAGTGGTCGTGATGGACTTGCCCCCTTGCACGGGAGTGCCCTTTTTGTTCACATCCATCAGTGACTACACCTGCTTTCGATCTTGCTTTCGCTTTTTTTTTTCCTTCGCTGCCCTGCCTTCGGTCATTCCTTCTCCCTCTGCCAAGGCGTAGGAGGGAAGGTTGGGCAGGAGCGTAACACCGCTTGCTGCATGGCCAACATGCATGGTCATCGGTGACGAGTATATGAAGTCTATTTGTGCGCGAGGACTCCGCTTGGCGGGGAGGAAAGGGCCAGCGCGAGAGGGCGATACGAAGATCCCCCGATGCGGGGGGGAGAGGATAGGGAAACAAGGTCAAGGGAACTGCGTGAGGGCAAGCCAGCGGCTCGGCGGCGCCCCTGTTAGCAGGGAAAGGAAGCTGGGGATGGGAGAGGGGGGGGGGGGGGGGGGGCATGGTGGGTTGTTGGGGGCAGAAAGGAAGCAACGAGCAAAGGCTCTTAGTTGGTGGCTGGCTGAGAGGCCGCCTCCGGGGCCTTTTCCGAGATGACAACCTCCTCAACAGTGGCGGCGGGGGCCTCCTCGATGGCAATCGGGGTGTCCTCCGCACCGGAGGCGATCTCCTCAACGGGGGCATCGCCCTCCTCACCGGCGAGGACCGCATCGGGATCCAGACTGAGGGCCTCCAGCTGCTTCTTGCGCTGGAGCTCCTGGAAGCGGAGCTTACCAACGGCATGGTGGTCGCGCGGGGCATAGAGGGCCCGACGAGTGGGCAGCAGGTAGTTGCGCATGTAGCCGGCCGCCACGTAGACCACCTGACCGGCCACACCGACATCGCGGACATTGGACTGGAGCTGCACGCGGACCAGGCCAATCTGGTCCTTCTTCTTCTTCTTCTTCTTGTCGGCCTCAGCGGAGTAGGCCCGAGTAGCCGCCATACCAAAAGCCGGGTTTGCGGCGGACCGCGCAGCAATGGCAGCGACAGTCGCCGCCCCAGTGCGGGAGGCGATCAGAGAAAACATCCTTCGGCGGGCAGACGGG